AGAAGGCCGTGGCGGGGTGCTCTGCGGGCTCCCCAGCACCGCGGTGACATGGACTTAGTGAAGCAGGCATGTAAGGCGAAGGGCCACAGGGATGACTGAGGGATTGGAGCGTGCGACGGGCGAGGGGAGGCCGAGAGAGCCGGGACGTGCAGCCTGGGCAAGAGGAGGCTCAGGAGGATCTTTTCAATAGATACAAATACCTGATAGAGGAGTGTGAAGAAGATGGAGCCAGACAGTTCTTGCTAGTGCCTCCTGACAGTTCAAGACACAATGGCACAAGCTGAAATGTGAGAAAGTCAGCTTAACCATGAGAAAAACCTTTTCTGCTGTGGGGGCAGTCAGGTTCTGGAACAAGCGGTCAGGCAGGTTGTGGTGTGTCCAACCCAACTGACTTTGTGTTGGACTAGAAAGTCTCCAGAGGTCCCTCCCAGCCCGCGCTGTGCTGCACCTCTGGGATCACTCCCGCAGGCTCTGGGCAGTTCTGTACCTGCCCGTCCACTTGTTCCCAAAGGGGAGCTTGGTGGGTCTGGGTTTGGCAATTTTTTTTAAAACTGATCGCTGCGTTGTGGTACGCTGTGGTTTGCAAAGCTATTCCAGAGTCAAGATTAGTTTAGCAAACAGTTTCTTAATCATTTGACTATTATAGTAATGTGTGTGTATATACAACATGCATATATAAATACCTCAGCACATACTGACAGTTGTGTGTTTAAAAAAAAAAAGTATAGAAAATGCTGTGAAAAAAAATCAGTGGGTGATGAGAAGCAGGATCTGTTAACTTTGTTGATTTGTCAAGATCCAGATATTCAAGTCCCTGGTTCTTGACTTCTCCATCTGTCCTGGGGAGGGAATAGTTACTGGAATCATTGCTAATCAATCTTAAAATTGGATCAATTTGCTGTAAAAGTTGCTTGGCAGCTTTGAATAGGGACTAACTGTTTTTAAACGGTGGTAAAAATGGGAAAAGCCCAGATAAGCAAATCCTACAAAACAGGGGAATCCTTCTCTTTGCTGTCAGACTTTCCCAGTTGAAGCTGCAGCTGGAGGTGATACATTCCGTTATTGAAATGAGGTTTTGTTTCTAGTTCACCTGCACGATTCCGCGTTTTTGGTTGTCAGTAATTTTATGGTAACCTGC